AGTTTAACTTATTCGAGTTCCTTATAAAGTTGCGAAGAGTGTTTTAATCCCTAAAGATTTAATCTTTGAAAGAAAATATCTTAATCAAGGTACCTATTATGTCACTAGACCTTTTTAATCTATAAAGATTGAATCTTTGAAAGAAAATTAGAGTTTTGAGTTAAAATTATTTGAGAGTACCCTTTGACGTCCAGAAGAGTACTTTAATGAGTAAAGATTGAATCTTTGAATGAAAATACATCAATCAACGTACCTATTATACCACTCGACCATTATAATTTATAAAAATTGAATCATTGAAAGAAAATGAGAGTTTTTAGTTAAACTTATTCAAGTTCCAATTGACTTCCCGAAGAGTGTTTTAATGAGTAGAGATTGAATCTTTTAATGAAAATACCTCAATCGTTGTATCTATTATGTTATTCGACCATTTTAATGTATAAAGATTAAATGTCATATCCTGGAGTTTATTAAATCTTTTATTATCAGTATGAGCTTGTTAATATGTGTTTGAGCTTAAATACGTCTATTTAATTGCGTTGGAAAACAAAATAAGAAATTTCATGTTTATAAACAAATCATTTCAAGTATGAGAATTGTTCACAAATGCATGGTACGGAGTATCTAGAAGTGTTTGCACATATTTCTTATATATTCATGGGTATGGTATTAAATACAAATTTTTGAAGTGGTGGCAGCCAAAAGGGAAGAAAAGAAATATATATATAAGTATAATAAATAAAGAGAGTGTATATATTGAAGTACATGTATGATGTCATGGGTATGTTTGTGCTGAATGTATATATGCTGGTGGCCCATTCTTATAGATAAAATTATATTATTTTAAAGCTTACTTTACAAGCTTTAAAGTTAGTAAGGTAAATTGGTGGGCCAATTGAGAACCATGCCTATGTATTTATCTTTAAGTATTTCGTGGGTTGAAGCTTAAGTAGAAAAGTGTTCTAACTACTAAGTTTACATCTTCATCCAAGACTTTTCACTCAATCACACATGCACATGGTCAATATTCATGTATTGATATACTTTCACGTGGAGGTTTGCTGCTGGACCATTGAAATCATCCTACTTATCTATGTGGGTTGATTAAAATAAAAGAAAAGGAAGCCATCAGTTTATTTTTTTTGGGTGTTGCCAGCACAAACTATTAATACCCATACACTCAACACGTCACAAAGTGCCTTTAAGGAGTCTTTTGAACCGAAGTACGAAAGGAGTGTTTAAAAAAAAAAAAAAAAGAAAGGAGATAGGAACAAAAGGGGTTTCGGCCATAGAAGAAGAAAAGAGAAGAAAGAAAGAAAAGAAACAATCAGTAGCTTGGGGACGGCTAGAAAGAAAGGGAAACGAGTTTCAGACAAGAAAATTATTGGGTACAGGTAGAGAGTTGATATTTTATATTGGAAGTTTTTTCAATTATATTCCTTAAGACTTGAATTGGGGATGTTTGGATACATTTTATTTATTTTTGTTTGTTTCTCTTTTAATTGAGTATTAATTTCTATAAAGTGATATAACTCTTGCTGGATTCAATCATGGGAGAAGGATTTTGAATTAGTAATTTTTTGTTGAAAGTTATTATTTCATTAGTAATAAGTGATTCAATTAATTCTTTCAGTTATATACCATATAATTGATTTAAAGGCAGTTTGTGTTTGTACTTGAGTCAAGGACTATTTTATTTGAATTAATATCGTGGATGGCTGAAAACTGATATAAAGGATTTGTGACTAGAATTATAGATTATGTATTTAGTTTGAGATTTATAATTGAAGTAATAATTGTGATTAAATTTCATTTAGAAATGGGTATAATGTAATTACAATTTTATTCAGGCAAAGATAAGGAGACGGAAGCTTCGACATTTACAAGGGATAAGTAAATAATTTGGGAAGTAAACAAAGTGAGTGTACTCACTGGAAGTTTATACTTGGATGTATTTAATTGAAGTATTGAAGCTGTTTATGTGAATTGAAGATGAATATATATAATTTGATTATATTATATAAGGTCCATACTCTGGCCTGGAAGGAGAGTAATATCTTATATAAGGTCCATACTCTGGCCTAGAAAGAGAGTACTACATTATATAAGGTCCATACTCTGGCCAAGAAAGAGAGTACTATATTTAAATAAGGTCCATACTCTGGCCTAGAAGGAGAGTACTATATTTTAATGCCTGTAATATATTAATGAATTTTAGTTGAAGTCATCAGATAATATTTATTTATATTACTCTGATGTAATAGTGTTGCATTCACTGAACTTTAAGCTCATTCCGTCCATATTTATATTTTTCAGGTATCAAGTTGAGTTGCTACTGCCAGGTCTAGAATCTTGAGTGGGATTGGGGAAAGGAACAATGGACCGTCTTCTGTTTAAGATGTAAATATTGTAGTAGAATTTAATGGTGTAACTTGTCGTTAACGATTTAGTTTGTTTTAAAATTGCATAACAGGCCTATATTTTGTTTTAAATTGTAAATTGTTAAGCAGGTACTCTGATGTATGATGATGTCATGTTGAATGAGGTTAATGCAGATGGTTAGATACATTCCAAATTGTTCAATTTATTAAATAGTGTAAATTGGGGTTGGGGTGTGACAACTTTTGGTATCAGAGCCTAGGTTTTCTAGGTTCTGGAGGTCATAAGAGTCTAGACTGGCAGTGGCAGTAAGAAGTGTGTGGTAGAGTCACTTATTTGACTTAATTTTATACTAACAGATATATGTGGTGATTATGTATCATATATATGTTGTTATATTTGAGATTCATTGCAGATAAAAAGAAATGGAAAGGGAAAGTGGTTATCGTGGAACTGAGGGTGAAGCCACTTATGTTCCTATTGAGGCTGAAGTGGAACAACCTATTCTAGGTGGTATGAGAAGAGAACAGGAGTACTTAACTGGTATGCAGAAAATAGAAAAGGCTATAACAGACTTGGCAGAACAAAACAAACAATTTATGGCAAGTCAAATGAAGATGCAAGAAAGGCTGGAAAGACAACAGAAAGGGAAGAAAAGCTCAGAGTATGAGAGGTTTATCAAGTTAACACCTCCAGAATTTTCAGGTACTACTAAACCAGAAGAAGCAGAGGGGTGGGTAAGAAGAATGGAATCGATATTTGCAGTGATGGGTGCAGCAGAAGACCAGAAGGTAAACTTAGCTGCATTTATGTTAAAAAATGAAGCTAGTTATTGGTGGGACACGACAAAACATTTGTTGCTCACTCCAGGAGAGAAAGAGGTGATATTCTGGAATCCATTTGTTAAAGCTTTTTATGAGAAATATTTCCCTCCAATTTACAGAAAAGAGAAGAAGCGGGAGTTTATTCTCCTAAAACAAGATAGAATGTCTGTGGTTGATTATGAAGTTAAGTTTACAGCTTTATCAAGGTTCGCACCCAAGTTTGTACAGAATGAAGAAGATAAATGTACAAAATTCCAGGATGGTTTAGAGGCGGCTATTAAGTCTAGAGTTTCAGTGTTTGAGGAAACAGATTATAACAGACTTGTGAATAAAGCCATGATTGCCGAAAGGGATGTGAAAGAATTGCAAGAAAGAAGGGAACAATACAAAAGAAATAGATTTGAGCCGTCATAGTCAAGAGGAGGTGAAGGAATTTCAAGTCAGAAAAGTCAAAGGTCGCGGTATGGAAGGGGAAGGGGTCGTGAATCTCAAGGCCAGACATCAAGTATTGGAAGAGGTCAAGGGTTTTTTGAGCAACAATCTGTACAACAAGGTAATTTTGGAGGACGTGGTACTGGCAGGGGGTGTTTTCAGTGTGGAAGGGAAGGTCACTAGAAGAAAGATTGTCCTATGTTGACAGGAGTGACCTCAGTGGGCAGTGTTGCTGGTTCTGGTAGAGGTTTTGCATAGGGGAACTCGTCAAAAGGAGGTAAAGGTGCTACAAGTGGTTCGCAAGCCCAGGGAAGAGTGTTTGCTATGACACTTCAGGATGTTCAAGCAACACCAGAAGTGGTGACAGGTACACTTTCTAGTTTGGATAGAAATGTTACTGTGCTTATTGATCCTGGCTCAACCCATTCATTTGTTGCATCATCTATTGCTATGCATTTGGGTAGACCACTTTCATCACTAGATAGTAAATTGTTTATTTCTACACCAATAGGGGAAGTGGTGGTGGTTGCAAATGAATATCAGGATTGTGTATTACAAATGGGGGATAGACAGTTAAAGGTGAATTTGATACCGTTGGGTATACCAGACTTTAATGTCATTTTGGGTATGAATTGGCTATCTGCGTATCATACGTCAATAGATTATTTTCGGAAAGAAGTTATATTTCAGATACCAGGAGAGCCAGAATTCAGATTTACCAGAGAAAGAAATGTTATTCCAAACTGTCTCATCTCAGTTATACAAACCAGAAAGTTGTTAAAGAAAGGGTGTCAGGGTTACTTGGCTTATGTGGTTGATACAAAAAATAAAGAGGTGACACTTAAAAATGTACCAGTGGTACGGGAATTCACAGATGTGTTTCCAGAAGACTTACCGGGGTTGCCAATGGATAGAGAGGTAGATTTTATCATTGAGTTGGTACCGGGAAAAGCTCTGATTTTTATTGCTCCGTATCGAATGGCACCGACAGAATTGAAAGAGTTGAAAGTACAATTGCAAGATTTACTAGATAAATGCTTCATTCGACCTAGTATTTCACCGTGGGGTGCACCGATGTTATTTGTTAAGAAGAAGGATGGTACTATGCGGTTGTGTATTGACTATAGACAGTTAAATAAAGTGACCATCAGAAACAAGTATCCATTGCCATGAATTGATGATCTGTTTGATCAGTTGCAAGGGGCAACGGTGTTTTCTAAGATTCATTTGAGGTCAAGATATCACCAGTTGAAGGTAAAGGATAGTGATATTTCGAAAACTGCTTTTCGAACTCGACATGGTCATTATGAGTTTTTGGTAATGCCTTTTGGGTTAACCAATGCTCCAGCGGAGTTTATGGATTTAATGAATCGAGTATTTCATCTGTATGTTGATTCTTTTGTTATTGTCTTCATCGATGATATTTTGATATATTCTCGGAGTGTGGATGAACATGAAAAGCATTTAAGAATTGTGTTACAGATTTTACGGGAAAAACAACTCTTTGCTAAGTTCAGTAAATGTGAGTTTTGGCTTGATAAAGTTGTCTTTTTGGGGCATGTAGTATCTGGGGATGGTATTTATGTTGATCTATCAAAAGTGGAAGCAGTGGTGAAATGGGAAAGGCATACCAATGTGACAGAAGTCAGAAGTTTTCTGAGATTAGCAGGTTATTACCGGAGGTTCATCCAAGGATTTTCTAGTATCGCATTGCCATTGACAAAGTTGACCCGGAAAGAAGTAAAGTTTGTGTGGGGTGAGGAATGCCAAAGAAGTTTTGAAGAATTGAAGAAAAAATTAACGTCAGCCCCAGTGTTAACTATTCCGTGTGGTGGTGAAGGTTTTGTGATTTACACTGATGCTTCACATTAGGGTCTGGGATGTGTTTTGATGCAAAATGGTAAAGTAATTGCGTATGCTTCTAGACAATTGAAGAATCATGAATTGAATTATCCTACACATGACTTAGAGTTAGCTGCTATTGTTTTTGCTTTAAAATTGTGGAGGCATTATCTGTATGGTGAAATTTGTGAAATATTTACAGATCATCAGAGTTTGAAGTATTTGTTTACACAAAAGAATTTAAATTTGAGACAGAGGCGTTGGATGGAGTTAATCAAAGATTATGATTGTAATATCCACCATCACCTTGGAAAAGCTAATATAGTAGCAGATGCCTTGAGTAGGAAGTCTTCAGGGAGACTATCTTGTGCACAGTGTGCACGGGTGGCAAATATTATGGAATTGAGATTGATGGGAGTTGAATTGACAGTTACTAACAAAGGAGCATTGCTTGTACATGTTACGGTGAGACCTTTGTTGCTGGATAGAATTAAAGAGCTGCAAATTCATGATGTATTCCTAGATAAGAAAAGAAAAGAAGCTCAAGAGGGTATGCAAATAGAATTTACAGTTAGGGATGATGGGATTTTGTATTTTAAAAGTCGAATTTGTGTTCCAAATGATGTTTCCTTGAAGAAAGATATTTTAGATGAAGCCCATAGTTCTATATATGTTATGCATCTAGGGAGTACTAAAATGTACAGGGATTTGAAAGAATACTATTGGTGGAACAATATGAAACGTGAAATTGCAGAATTTGTAGCAAAGTGTTTGATATGTCAACGAGTGAAAGCTGAACATCATAAACCAGCGGGGTTGTTGCAGCCGTTACCAGTTCCACAGTGGAAATGGGAGCATGTAACCATGGATCTTGTGACGGGACTTCCAAGATCAAAACGGGGACATGACTCTATTTGGGTGATAGTTGATAGATTGACGAAATTAGCTCATTTTCTGGCAGTGAAATCTACTTATTCTATAAAGGAATATGCTCGTTTGTATATTAATGTGATCATATGTTTGCATGGGGCTCCAGTTTCTATTGTTTGTGACAGGGATCCGAAGTTCACTTCGAGATTTTGGTATAGTTTGCATGAAGCCATGAAAACTTCTTTGAAGTTCAGTACAGCTTCTCACCCGCAGACAGATGGGCAGTCAGAACGAACTATTTAGATTTTGGAAGATATGTTGAGAGCTTGTGTGTTGGATTTCAAAGGTAGTTGGGATAATTATTTACCATTGATTGAATTTGCCTATAATAATAGTTATCAGTCTACTATTGGAATGGCACCATATGAATCTTTGTATGGGAGAAAATGTAGAACTCCATTGTGTTGGGATGAAGTGGGTGAAAGAAAGTTATTGGGTCCAGAATTGATTGAACTTACAACAGAAAAAGTGAAGATAATTCAGCAATGTATGAAAGTGGCACAGGATAGACAAAAAAGTTATGTAGATGTGCGAAAAAGAAGAGATTTGGAATTTGAAATTGGTGATTTTGTTTTTCTTCGTATTTCTCCTTGGAAAGGTATTATGAGGTTTGGAAAGAAAGGTAAGTTAAGTCCCAGATACATTGGACCTTACAAGATTCTGGAACGAATAGGAGCAGTGGCGTATCGGTTGGAATTACCAGAAGAATTATCAAGATTGCATGACGTTTTCCATGTGTCTATGCTTTGGAGGTATATATCAGATCCATCTCATGTTTTAGTTGCAGAACCGATAAAGTTGAAGGAAGATTTGACTTATGTAGAGGAACCGGTATAGATTTTGGATCGCTGGGAGCAAGTGTTACAGAATAAAACTATATTACTGGTAAAGGTATTGTGGACGGGTCATACGATTGAAGAAGCGACTTGGGAAAGTGAAGAAGTTATGTGAATGCAATATCCTCACTTGTTCGGTATGTTTCATGCATTTTAATTTCGAGCAAGAAATTTATTTTAAGAGGGGTAGATTGTCATATCCTGGAGTTTATTAAATCTTTAATTATCAGTATGAGCTTGTTAATATGTGTTTGAGCTTAAATACGTCTATTTAATTGCGTTGGAAAACAAAATAAGAAATTTCATGTTTATAAACAAATCATTTCAAGTATGAGAATTGTTCACAAATACATGGTACAGAGTATCTAGAAGTGTTTGCACATATTTCTTATATATTAATGGGTATGGTATTAAATACAAATTTTTGAAGTGGTGGCAGCTAAAGGGGAAGAAAAGATATATATATATAAGTATAATAAATAAAGAGAGTGTATATATTGAAGTACATGTGTGATGTCATGGGTATGTTTGTGCTGAATGTATACATGCTGGTGGCCCATTCTTATAGACAAAATTATATTAGTTTAAAGCTTACTTTACAAGCTTTAAAGTTAGTAAGGTAAATTGGTGGGCCAATTGAGAACCATGCCTATGTATTTATCTTTAAGTATTTTGTGGGTTGAAGCTTAAGTAGAAAAGTGTTCTAACTGCTAAGTTTACATCTTTATCCAAGACTTTTCACTCAATCACACATGCACATGGTCAATATTCATGTATAGATATACTTTCACGTGGAGGTTTGCTGCTGGACCGTTGAAACCTCCTACTTATCTATGTGGGTTGATTAAAATAAAAGAAAAGGAAGCCATCAGTTTATTTTTTTTGGGTGTTGCCAGCACAAACTATTAATGCCCATACACTCAACACATCACAAAATGCCTTTAAGGAGTCTTTTGAACCGAAGTAGGAAGGGAGTGTTTAAAAAAAAAAAAAAGAAAAAAAAAAAGAAAAAGAAAGGAGATAGGAACAAAAGGGGTTTCGGCCATAGAAGAACAAAAGGGGTTTCGCCCATAGAAGAAGAAAAGAGAAGAAAGAAAGAAAAAGAAACAATCAGCAGCTTGGGGACGGCCAGAAAGAAAAGGGAAACAAGTTTCAGGCAAGAAAATTATTGGGTACAGGTAGAGAGTTGATATTTTATATTGGAAGTGTTTTCAATTAAATTCCTTAAGACTTGAATTGGGATGTTTGGATACATTTTATTTATTTTTGTTTGTTTCTCTTTTAATTGAGTATTAATCTCTTTAAAGTGATATAAATCTTGCTGGATTCAATCATGGGAGAAGGATTTTGAATTAGTAATTTTATGTTGAAAGTTATTATTTCATTAGTAATAAGTGATTCAATTAATTCTTTTAGTTATATACCATATAATTGATTTAAAGGCAATTTGAGTTTGTACTTGAGTCAAGGACTATTTTATTTGAATTAATATCGTGGATGTGGTATGGGGAATTGTCAGGCTGAAAACTAATATAAAGGATTTGTGACTAGAATTGTAGATTGTGTATTCAGTTTGAGATTTATAATTGAAGTGATAATTGTGATTAAATTTCATTTAGAAATGGGTATAATGTAATTATAATTTTATTCAGGCAAAGATAAGGAGACGGAAGCTTCGACATTTCCAAGGGATAAGTAAATAATTCGGGAAGTAAATAAGGTGAGTGTACTCACTGGAAGTTTATACTTGGATGTATTTAATTGAAGTATTAAAGCTGTTTATGTGAATTGAAGATGAATATATATAATTGGATTATATTATATAAGGTCTATACTCTGGCCTGGAAGGAGAGTAATATCTTATATAAGGTCCATACTCTGGCCTGGAAAGAGAGTACTACATTATATAAGGTCCATACTCTGGCCAAGAAAGAGAGTACTATATTTAAATAAGGTCCATACTCTGGCCTAGAAGGAGAGTACTATATTTTAATGCCTGTAATATATTAATGAAGTTTAGTTGAAGTCATCAAATAATATTTATTTATATCACTCTGATGTAGTAGTGTTGCAGTCACTGGGTTTTAAGCTCATTCCGTCCATATTTATATTTTTCAAGTATCAGGTTGAGTTGCTACTGTCAGGTCTAGAATCTTGAGTGGGAATGGGGAAAGGAACAATGGACCGTCTTCTGTTTAAGATGTAAATATTGTAGTAGAATTTAATGGCGTAACTTGTCGTTAACGATTTAGTTTGTTTTAAAATTGCATAACAGGCCTATATTTTGTTTTAAATTGTAAATTGTTAAGCAGGTACTCTGATGTATGATGATTTCATGTTGAATGAGGTTAATGAAGATGGTTAGATACATTCCAAATTGTTTAATTTATTGAATAGTGTAAATTGGGGTTGGGGTGTGACATTAAATCTTTGAAAAAAATGAGAGCTTCATGTTAAACTCGTTCTAGTTCCCTTCGACTTCAAGAAGAGTGTTTTAATGAGTAAGGATTGAATCTTTGAATGAAATTACCTCAATCTAGGTACCTATTATGTCCCTAGGCCTTTTTAATATATAAAGAATTGAATCTTTGAAAGAAAATGAGAGTTTTGAGTTAATCTTATTCAAGTTCGTTTTGACGTCACGAATAGTGTTTTAATGACTAAAGGTTGAATCTTTGAATTAAATTACTTCAATCAAGGTACCTATTATGTCACTGGACCTCTTTAATGGTTCAAGATTGAATCTTTGAAAGAAAAAACGAGAGTTTTGATTTAAACTTATTCGAGTTTCCTTCAACGTTCCGAAGAGTGTTTTCATGAGTAAAAATTGAATCTTTGAAAGAAATTATCTCAATCAAGGTACCTATTATGTCACTAGTCCTTTTTAACGTATAAAGATTGAATCTTTTAATGAAAATTAGAGTTTTGAGATTAAGTTTGTCGAGTTCCCAATAGAGTTACGAAGAGTGCTTTAATGACAAAAGGTGGAATCTTTGAAAGAAAATACCTCAATCAAGGTACCTGTTATGTCAGTATGCCTTTTTAATCTATAAAGATTAAATCTTAGAAAGAAAATGAGAGTTTTGAGTTAAACTTATTCGAGTTCCCTTTGATGTCCAAAAGAATGCTTTAATGAGTAAAGATTCAATCTTTGAATGAAAATACCTCAATCAAGGTACTTATTATGTCACTGGACCATTGTATTATACAATTTTTAAATCTTTGAAAGAAAATTAGAGTTTTGAGTTAAACTTATTCAAATTT